TACCATATGCTCTACTTCAAATTATGGTTACACACAGGCTTTAAACTCAGGCTGGTGTAGTTCTTGATTTAACTATGTTCGCAGTAAGGTTGCATTTAGACTTTAAAAGTCAAAGTATGATTAACATATTGTTTTATTTTGTATGTTTTCCTCTTTTTTAGTCAAGACTGAGCTGGGTGGAAACGTCACCCTGCCCTGCAGACTTCAGCCAGAGGAAACGTTTTTCTATGGAAGTCTGAAAGTCACATGGATCAAAGTGGGAGAAGATCAATCCCAAAATGAGGATGTGCTTATATCCATGGGTTTACACAAGAGGACTTATGGAAACTTTGAAAACCGTGCCTCTTTGTTAGACATAGAAAATGGTGATGCCTCCTTGGTGTTAACTGATGTCTCCAAGGAGGACATGGGAAGGTACCGCTGTGAGATCATGAATGGGATGGAAGACATTATTCAAGATGTAATTTTAGAGGTTGAAAATGGTCTCACTGAAGGTAAATGCTGTTTTAGGAACACACTAATTCACTTTATCAACAGCTTATAAATGGCTATTCCGCTTATAATTTATAATGCATGTCTAGAATCCGGATTTACATCTGGCTGTAGGGTTATGTCTCTTTTCTGCACCTTACATTTCTTCTGGGTTTTGGATTTAATATAAAACTGGTGTATGTATGGTTACACCAGTCCCACTGGCTAACTAGCTTCCAACTGGAACATGGTTTTGTGCAATGTAACATTATTCTCAGATTTAATTCCAACCTCACAAGGACATTGGAACAAAACAACAGCTCAATGGGGTTTGAAGGGGTCTGAATGATCTGGGAATGAAACATAGCCAATTGAAACATAGGACTGTTAACAGAGGAACTGATGTCTTTGTCTTTCCTTGATTGTTTTGGACAATAAAGAACAGACTTTTAGACCAAAACCAAAATCGAAGAAAACCCCAGCTGACAAAAGTAATTTAATAAATATACCTCCAATCTGCAATAATTAGCAGCTCGATGCTAATATCTTCAAGCACACTTAGTCCAAATAGCAAATCTCATATTTCCCTCAGTAGTATTGTCATTGTGTTGGAGGTACAATTACCTACAACAATATAGTTGAGTGTTAGAACAAATCCACTCCAAAGAAAGCCAGCAAGTCAGCATTATCAAGTTGAGAATGGTAGAGTTTCATAGTATTGGAGGAACCGTGTTGAAACCTATCTTGAACCTTTTGAAAGAAATACATTTAAATCTTTTCTACTTTGCTACTTGTGGTTTGTAATACACAAATTATTGTTTAACTTCATACAAATAAATCATATCTTGAGGGTTGTACTAGATTGAACACCAATCTGCTGGACACCAATCTCGAGTGTCCTAATGTATTGCTAATTGCTACTTAAAAAGCTTTCAAGCATTCATGTTTGAAAGAAATTGGTTCTAAAGTGATAAGATATGTGCAGACTTGACTGAGTCTGTAAATAAATTAGAAATAATCATAAACATTTAACTCTTACCAAACAATATGTGTTCTGTTGCTCCAAATACAGAATAATCTAAGGTTTGGATATTCTGCTACAGCATTTTCCATGTCTTTTAGGTGTTGTATTCCCATACTCTCCCCATCGTGGGCGGTACAACCTGAATTTTGATGACGCTGTGCAGTCCTGTGAAAGTCAGGATGCTGTAATTGCCTCCTTTGATCAGCTGCTAGAGGCCTGGAAAGAGGGTCTGGACTGGTGTAATGCTGGTTGGCTGAATGACGGTACTGTACAGTATCCAATCACCAAACCCAGACAACCCTGTGGCGGCGTCAACAGCAGCCCTGGTCTCAGAAGCTATGGCTTCAGAAACAAGCAGATGAGCCGCTTTGATGTGTTCTGTTTTGCTTCCAAACTCCAAGGTAGGCTCTTTTCTCCATCTTATTTTCAAGTTGCAGTAAAAGCTTTATATATTAAATTTCATTTCACATGCAGAAAAAACAGCCTTCCTATCAAGGCATGCATAAACATTAAAAGAAGTTCTGAGCAGTTTTTTTTTTTTTTTTTTTTTTGCTGTCTCTGCTACCAGGTCGTTTCTATTGGTTGGTCCAGCCAGACAGGCTGAGTTTTGACGAGGCTGTGCAGGCGTGCCAAGAAGACGATGCAGAGATTGCGAAGGTTGGCCAGATGTATGCCGCCTGGAAGCTCGAGGGCTACGATCGCTGCGATGCTGGCTGGTTGGCTGATGGAAGCGTGCGCTACCCTATTTCCAGGCCCCGGAAGAACTGCAGTCCCACAGAGGCTGCAGTGCGCTTTGTTGGATTCCCAGACAAAAAGGTTAAGTCTTTTGGTGTCTACTGCTTCAAGGCTGAGGAGTGAGAGAATGAAAAACATGCAGGTGAACCACAGACACCAAAGAGCAGCAACAACAGCCATAAAAAAAAAAAATTTTAAAGCAGATTGAGTTGGATTTTAAATAGTCCAAATTTCTTACCTTTCCGATGCCATAATAGCTTTTATGTTAGTGTCATGCAATCTAAATCAGTATCCAATAAACAACAGAATGTAACAAGCAATTAGGGCATATTTTCTGTTTATTTCTATCTGTTCACTCTTGATTAAGACTGTTTAGTAAAGGGCAAAATTGAAAATGTATGTCTTTGACAAAAGTGTCATTTTCAAGGTTTGGCTGCAATTATGCTCAAAGAATGTGTGCTGCTTTCAAGTGTGTCTTGAGCAATGCTATTTTTATTTTGCATAAGCATTCATATCAACAAAATAAATTGATTTCAATGTGATAAACATAACAAGCCTACAGGTGTTGAGCTATTGGTTCATAGATTACTGCAAAAAGGAACCAGTTAGATTCATTGCTGTTTTCTAATATACATTAACATACATGTATTTACAAAACCTCAAAAATGTATCTTTGACCAGAAAAGCTGTGAGAAAGTCAACCGCAAAGAGATTTGATGGATGTTTCCTTCTTTATATATATATATATATATGTTCTGCATTTCTGTTTGATTAGGAAGAAATGACAAATGTCCAGATGTTAGTGTTTAACTCCAATTCATTGTTTCCATTATCTAACATAAATATTTAACTTTTTTTTTTTTTTTTTTTTACATTTGGTCATTTTTGATAACTTTACACTGTTTCTTGAAAAGAAATGGTTCAAATTACAGACTTACTTGCAGATTTTTCTTTTTTACTATATAAAGATTTTGCTTTTTCCTACTTACTGTGCAAGAAAAGCATATAATCCTCCTTCGATCTGATATAGAACTAAACTTAAAACACCTAAAGATAGCAATCAGTAGTTATTAAAACGTGCAGTTGTGATTAAGACAAGTGAAAATTTTGTTTTGTCTTTTTCTTCTTTTTAATGTTTTTATAACTTTGATTATTGAGATATTGTACGTAGAGCAGATGTTTATTTGCTCACACTTTGACATACAAAATATGAAGATATTTTTGTATGACACCATGTACCGTTTCACAATGTTGCAATTAAAAATAAAAATATAACTTTTAAAAATGCTTTTTCCAGGGTTTCCTTGACTGAAAAATATATTAACATATCTTATGTTGGAATGCAGAAATTAAAAGCAACAAACCAGACGGTTATAGATATGATGTAAAACTTTTTGCAAAACGATTCACACTTTAAATATTGTCACATTGCAAACACAAAGTCCAACATGACAAACAGCAACAAAAAGTGGTGTTGAACTGTGAATGGAGGAAAATTTCTTGAACGTCACCAATAAAAACAAAAATAGTGGATATTTGTATTTCTCGCCTTTTAGTTTGATAGTTTGATTTGAAAATCTAGTACCACCAATTGCTTTCTGAAGTTAATTTGCAGTTAGTAGTGAGTCATAATGAGAGAAGCAGCCTAAAGGTCCATGGTCATTCTGGAGAAGCTGCAGCTCAATTTGTAGAACCTGTTATCAATCAACACTCCTACACTGAAATACATAATGGATTCCCGTGGTAAAAGTCACAAAATCTGAATATGTTGTGGTGCGCTGTTAATACGCGCAAAATACGACAGACTTTTAAAACAGTTTTTAAAAAAGTATTTTGAAATGATTTAGAAAATACTTACAGTTTTTGTTTACATGTAAGATTATTGTTTGAGCAGACGAGTGAATAATAATGAACTGCAAGAGAAAAACAACCTTCTTTTTATATTTAGTTCCATTCCTTGGTATCAATCAATAAAATGTGATGCAAGCTTTTCAGCTAGCCTGCTGAAGCAACACTGCCCAAAATGTAATCATGAATTACACAGTATTGACATGTTGGTTGGGGCTTATGTCTGTGTTGCATGTCTACACCGACGTGGTCTGAGTGCATTTCCTTTCTAAAAGAAAATTGGAAATCTTGATAAACCCCAAAGAGTCTTGCACAGGCAAAGGGATGTAAGATTTTCCACTGTGACATCAGCATTTCATGACACGATTACCAGTCTACTACCCTCTCAGGAACCTTGGAGAAGTCCTTGATCACAAGTCAAGCCTTGTTTGGCAGCAAACTGAGCTTTTAAAGTGATAAACATCTGTTAACTCATGGACCGTTTGCATCAACCGGTTAAATGTTAATTCAGCAGTAACAGTGCGCTGTGCCAGAAAAGAAACTGAAAACCTAAAAATTGCTTTGTTTACGAGAAAGCAAGAACTCTTTATTCAAGGTAATGCTTTTCTGTACCACTAAAGTAATTCTAATTCCTCTCTGTATAACAGAAAGGATCGTGGATTTGAACCTTCTTCTGCAATACACTTATATTTGAATGGCACTGAATTGCTGTAAAAACTGTTATGTTATTTTTTTTGATTCAAACTGAAATTTAAATCCCTACATGCTATGCAAGCAGAGAGGAAGCCCAAGGATTTCAGTCAAATAGCACTACCTGGTGGTGAAACCTGTGCAAGGCCAGCATATATCTAATTCATAAGTCACTGTGAAGAAATAGAAACCATCAATGTTAAAACACATTATAAAGGACCAAACTAAATGATCACACATCCATATATTTATTTGGTTCTTTGGTGAGTTAAAGAAGGAAAAACAGTTTACTCTTAAAAATAAAACAATTCACAAACATCTCATATATTCACATTGTAAAGTAGAAAAAAAAAGTTGTTATATAAATATAAAATGATATTATGTGCACAATAGGGCAAAAACGCACTTAAACATTCACAGGCAGACCAAATAAAGCAACATCGCTCCAATAGAACTGTTGCAGAGACACAGCCATTCACATGTAAAAATTGATTTTGTCACTATTTCAGAACAAAATTATTGCTTATTATGCCCTCCATGTCTCTTGGTTCACTGTGGTATTAAGAGATATAAACTGATTAAACTGCATAAAATGAGTAAATTTCTGTCTTTATTGCATCAGGTTTAGACATTCTGAGCATGTCTTGTCTTCTATTGAACATACACATAAAAAGAGCACTCCTGGGACCAGTGACATCAACACATTTTACTTGTCAGTATAAAACACACGAGGAGATAAAAAGCAGCTTGAAAATAAATTATTTGTATCTCTTCCACCCCAACAGCTTTAGTGTTCAAGTCTCTGAGTGTTTCACAAAAATACATTCTCTCAATGGATGATTTGATGTGCAGCAAAAGCAGTGAAGCACAGTTTAAAAAAAAAAAGTAAAAGAAAACTTTAAAAGGAATTTTTTTTATGGTGAAACACAAGCAAAACACATGAAAAAAAGATTGTTTTTCATGTGTGACAATTAACAGCAGAACAGTTATGTAAACATGGTGTACCAAAGATTGTGAGCTGAATAGAAATCCAGGCTGCTTGAGCTACACATGTTGGTTTTTCCCTCATTTTTAAATAGAATGACATCAGTTTCTGTCTGCGTTTAAAGGTTTTGTCAATAGGTACTCAGAGAGGAACCTTTCAAAACTGTATCATACAAAAAGTGAGGCCAGTAATATTTGGAACCTTCTGTCGATACATACATGTACATAAATGTTGCTTATAAGAAGAAAACAGGGAAAGCTGGTAATTCAAACCTTTGAAAGCTGCCACCAAATAGATTTCCCCTGTGAGAAAAAGGCTATTTGTTGTTACTGCCTGTGAAAATACTTTCAAGCAATGTTTTTCAAGCCTTTTTAGTCTATTGTTCGTGAAGAAAAAAGTTTCTCTTTATATTAAAAAAACAAAGATCTTGTGGACTGTTCTAATTATTAGCCCTATTTGTAATCTGAGAAAAAACTACAACTCATGACATTTAGCGTCTTTGATTAAATTGAGAAAGCATATTTATGCGTATGCATTCATGCATTTCAACATTAAACAGGACGACAAAATAAATTATTTTTATGTGACATAAGTTGTATTATGTTCTTTCTATAGATGTTGGACAGTCGCATTGGCTTTAAATAGCACAGTTGATTCATCAGACAGCAACAATAAATGTTTCATAGAATTAGTCAACATAAAATGAAAAAAAAAAAAACATAAAAGAATATCAAATTAGACAGCTCATTGTGCTTCCAGAAGCCAGCTGAAAGAGTTTGTCCTCACTATGAATGTAGCAGTCTTTCTTGAAATGAATCATCAGCTAAAATTATTTCAAAGGCACTTTATAAGATGTTATCGTCATTGTAAATACAAGGAACTTGCAGTTTATCCTCGGTTTCTGTTGATGAGCTTTTTTTAACGCATTTTTTTTTTCTGGTCTTCCTTTCTTCCAACCATCAGGCAAGTGTTCTTGATTCCTCTTGGAAATCATTGCTTTGTCCTCTTTTGTACTGTTCTGTCTCTCCTTCCCCAGTTGCGCTGATGGTGGTGGCGCAAGGTCTCATCCTGCCATTTTTTGAAATTATTGATACTGTATAGAGCATGGGGTTGATGTCTCCTCATGAAGGACCTCTGGTAGCTCGACGCTGAAAGAGAAAATGGGTTTTATTTCCTGAAAATAAGACAATTTCAAAATCTTGAGCAAATTCTTACATTTGCAGGATTAATAATTATACTTACGGCTTATACAGGTGATTTTAGGTGTATCCCACCGTCCGTCGCCACGGCAGCGGATGGTTGGAACATGTCTCTGAATGAACCCATTTCGACACTGGTACCTCACCAGTGTGTTGATTTCATACCTCTCCCGCTTTCCACCAAAGGTACGTGCATTTTCAACTACAGGAGGCTGGCTGCAGGCCACTGGAAAAACAAAGGGTGACATTACTTTATTAAGGAAACAAACAAATAAGTGTGTAACATTTTTAAAAATCCTTGCAGCATAAGGATGTAGTCTGTGCAAATAAATCCGCATATGTTACTAGCCACTAGTAACATAACCTGGTTACATAAAGAAGCAATAACCCATAACAATGTAAGACAAGTTGCAAAAGTCAAGTTACAAGTAACATATCTCTTAAATAGCTGGTTGTACTGTAGTTACTACAGTGGCTAATTTGACCAGTTAGCTAGCAAACTTGTCACGCTCCCGGTGTTACTCCAAACATTTCCCCCAAACTTATGGAATTTTTAAAAAGATCACTCAATCTAGTAGTCTTAGTAGTCAATCTAGTAGTCTTACAAAATGTTCATTTTGTATTTTGTGAGTAAGGTATCAAAATAATAACATATCTATTTTTGCTTCTCAATAAACTAGAAAATGTTTTAGAGATTAGAAAAATGAATGTTTTGTTATATGGATAGCAGGAAGATTATGTACTACTTTTTTTTCTGCTTTCAGGGAATCAGATTCAATGACAAGATACATTATTGTTTTCATTTTTTAGCAAGTTGTGTGATATAAAAAAGTTTTCTTTCATTACCTGTGCCTTTCTTGCATGTGAAGGTTAGGTGATAGTTGCATGGGACATCGTTCCACTGGCCACCCTCATGCCAAATCATCACCACACAGTCCTCTCCGGATGAAAAGAAGCTGTCAGGCTGGTTGGGCCTCCAGTTTTCATATTGCTAAAAATTGAACAGAGAATTTCATATTTAACCTCCAAGGATCTACAAATCTGTGCTAAAAATGTTGCTCTGTGGTGGCACATTTAATCACAAATGTTATGTCAGATGTATGACTATAAACAGGCATGCACGCTCTTTTCACCAATAAAAACTGTCCTTTCTTATCAGGATTTTGTAGCCACTGCAATTTGGTCAATGTCCACAAGAGGGGGAAGCTGGATCTCTCTGGGTAAACTCAGTGTTAACTTGAGCCTCCTAGACTCAGCAAAGCCAGTTTGCTTTTCAAATTTGTCACAACGTTTTAAAAAAGCTATTGGGCCTACAACCACATACCATCACATTGTGACTTTATCTCCGTGGTATGTTTGGCATCCATGTTGTTGCACTATACATTTTTTTGTGAACACTTTTCATCAAGCAGTTGAATGCCTATGATTTTTGCCAGCAAAAAGCACTACATGTGCGTATGAGTGTCCATGCAGTATACACACAGCTGTGAAGCTGAGAGCCATTTAGGCTGCAGTTGATACTAACTGTAGTCTTTCAGCATGTCCAAGGTTCAAACACTTTCTTCAAAGCTGTGACGACCCCCCACCCTTCACACAATCTCTTGCCATCATCCCTCTAGGGTCTGGAGCTCTGTCATTATGGTTAACAAACATACTCTGACTTCCTACTCTGCTCACCTCAGACCAACAAATGGCTGACCCGTCAACTGCCTGACAAGTCTGCATCTCAATTAAAATATTCAAACTCCCCAACCTGATCTGAACATGCATTCTAAGATATTTCAACAAGTATCTTTTCAGTTCTCTTTCTTAGCATTACCAGATTTCCTCTAAATACAATTTCACAGTTTAAAAATATCCTATTTATACAGATTGAGTTGAGTTGACCACCCACTTAAGCCCTTGGGTGCTTCAAGACAATTTTTTTTTTCCAACCTAAATTTGAGCACAGGTGCTGTCCATCTGTGTGTCTGTTTGGTGGCCCTTCCCCCATGTCACTGCCTGCTTGGTGGGTTCTCTCAGGAGGGAGAAAGGATAAAGAGGAACCATAAAATTCCACGCCTGCCAGACCCTTTCACACAACCTCATTCACAACCTCATCACCTCCAAATTGGTCACTGTTTATCTATTAACCCTTAGGCTACCTTTCAGCTTCCTCTGCACCTCCACTTTTGTGGGATCATCACATTAAATGGAGAAAGAAATGAGGTTTTATTCTGTAAAGTACCTGGAATTGCAGCAAAAATGCACTTTCAACATTTTGCATTGTCAATTACAAACATAAACTTCAATGTACATTAGTAATTTTTTGTTATAGCACAAAATAATGTACCACCGAGTTTCATCCCAATTTTACATCTGAAAAGTGTAGTCTGCATTTATGCTCTGCTTGTAGAAAACAGCCTATTTAAGTACTTAGAGTTTGTTTCAACATTGGCTTTATTAAACTCACTGCTGCATAAAATTCACATTGTAGAATGAAAGAAATATGTATGCCACAAACTGTTTAAAATTATGTCCATATGGCTATAGCTTTAAGATCACTGTTCTCATAGACAATTATATTCTCCCCTGGTTTTAAACTTTTGCAGCCTCAAGCAAGTTTTCTTCCAAGATTGCCCTCTTTTTAGCTCCATCCATCTTGACATCAACTTTGACCTGCGCCAATCTCCCTTATGTGTTTACGTGACATAATGTAAGAGACAAACACAAATTCTTGGGCAAAGAGCCAAACTTTTGTGAATCAAAGTGCACCAATGACTTTTATGGTTAAAAACTGGTGTTTAACTAAAAAATACAATGAGGTAAGACATTTACATAAGCACATAAGTCATAAGCAAAATCCAATAACAGAAGATGATATGCAGAATAATTCCTATAAAAAAATATAAAATGTCCACATATTTTTTATCTGTTTCTATAAAGGAAGCCCAATTTTAGAATAATACATTATGTGGTTTGGGATTCCAACTCATAAAATGTAAAACATTTCAATGTGAATACTTTTGTGATGCACTGATTAAGCTGTTTTGTAAACAGTGCTTTCATGAAAAATAAGCACCCTTCCTTGCCTACGTTTCTCAATTTCACTTATTGGACCAACTGATTTCCATAGAGTGGACTTTTACTCATAATGTGACTTAGAGGTGCCTTACAGCCTCATCTACATCAGGTTTAATACCAGAATAGTCACAGGGGTGTAGGGATACAAGCTGGAGAAGAGTGAGAGTCATGAGAAAGGAACCAGAGCTCACTTAAAGGAGCAACTCTCCCTAGATCACACCCTCCGTCATCTGTATCACTTCCAAATATTTACACGGCCATGTTTAAGGAGAATGATATATGTCAGAAGTCAGTGTCTTACCACAGGGCTGCCATCAGTCCAGCGGAAGTCATTGTCAAACATCTTATCATTCAGGCCAACCCACTGGTAATCCTGTCCAAGACCTGCCATTTAGGATGGAAAAACAGCTGATTACAATTGTTTTTTATTTTCTAATTTTCAGAATGTGCAGTTACAAAATGGAAAAATAAATAAATAAAGATATCACAGGCATTTTTACAGTCTGTTTTATTTCCTGCACAATATGTTCTGCCACTGTTTGGGCTTTTTTTTTTGTGCACTTATTAAATACCTGATGTCGTTTCCCTTTTCTCATGAACAGCAAACATTATGATGAAGCAAAGCATGTTCCTGGACATAGGGACTTTCTATATAAAATAAATGTGCTGCTTACGGTTGACAAACTGTTGTTCTTCATGGGAAAGGATGCTGGTGAGATGAGCTCCCTGAATGCGGCACTCTCGTTCTGCAGAGTCCCAACCTTTCCTCTGGGGGAAGAATCTGTAGCAATGACCTTGAAACTTGTGCCAACCATAGTCACATATTTCAGTATCTGGTGGAAAAGAAGATGAGATGGAGTTTTAGTGTGAAGGAACTATAGAATTTATAACTTAAGTGCCTATTTTAACAAAACACCAATCTCTCTTGGAACTTGAAAACATGTGTAACACTGCATAATTTACAAAGAGGGACGTATAGATAAAGCCAACTATGGTCATTCAAGACTAAAATGAGAATGTCTTCTTTATATTTTTATGAAAATGTAAAGAACATAAGTGAGATTATTTTCAATGAATCTCTTTTCATCTCTGAATGTTGGCTTTAACTGTAGGAATCAAATGTACAAATCAGAAGTGTCAAAAAAATCTATAACTATCATCACTTTAATTATTCCTCTCCCGAAAACTTGTAATTTTGGCAGAGTTTTGTATACTTTTGCGTCACTCTGCACATACCACTCTATATTTCACTTACTGAAACAACAACAAAACCCCCAAAGGTATTACAAGCGTACTTTAATGTTATTTCATGAACTAGTTGTTCCCTCGTTTCATTTGGCAACATATTTCCACACAGCTGAATCTGGGTACATAATGTGGGTGGGCGGAAATCAAAGAGGGCCTATCCACACAAAATTTAGGGTGTAGGCTAGTTGGGAGAAATCCGTCATAAATATTTTCTTCTTGTTTTTTCTTTGTCCAACATGTGTTGTGAAGATTTAAATGGAAACCCAGTGTGTTGAAATAGTCAAAAATTTGCTTTTCATGTTTACTAAGTGAGAAAAATCATCCAATGAGCCTCAAAGTGATAATTGTCTAAATAAGTCATTCCCGACCTCCGGCCCGTGGACCAATTGGTAAAAGAAATAATTAAATATTTTCATTTTATGCAATATCTGAAGATGCATAAAACTGATCTTCAGATCGATTTATGCATAAAAGATCTGGAGGATCTTTTATTTTGAAAACCCTTTAACCGTATTCTCTTAGCTACGTTTTGCGCGCCAACATTGAGGCCACATAAATAGCAAAATGAGTAAGAAACAGATCAGTTGTCTTTGGAAAGTTTCTTGCGAATGGAAAAAAATCCAGGCAAGCTGAGTTATAATTCTGAAGTAACGTCTTGTCCTGGTGTAAATTAATGTAACGTGAGAGCAAAGGGTCGTTGAGGAATAAGGAAAGTCCCGAAGTGTAAAACAGTCATCGGTGAAGAGAACTAGTTTAGTGTGCCATCACATCACTGGTCATTCTGACACATTTCTGATCAAGTTTGTGTTGTTGAACAGTTACGGTAATCTTGCAAGGACACAGAGAAAAAGGAAGGGAAGAAAATATGATGAGCAAAACATGATGAGTAAAATCTGTGCACATCATACTTTTGCCTGAACTTAGCCTTGGCTTGGCAAACTTCTATATTTTAAATATTAAAATCTCTGAAAATTTAATGTTAGGCCTTAAGTAACTTGAGTAAAAGTGCTTTAAGCACTGTGCGTGGTTGACTGGTGCTTTAAGCACTTTTACTCAAGATTCCGAATGAGAGGGTTAGGGACTAAGAGGATTAAGGTAAAAAAAAAAAAAATCCAAGTTCATCTGATGTGGGTCACTCTTAAAATTAGACAAAACTGTTTGATTCATTTGGGAAACTTTTGGAAGATGCTGGACTGAATAAATTTCAAGCTACTGTGGCAAGGCATTTTAACACTTAATCAAAACAATACATCTATCTCTAATTTCCAATTGCATTTTAGATATCCGAAATGAGATATTGTGCACTTATTTTGTTTTAGCAAAATAAAAAAAAATAAAAAATGGCATACTATGACATACTGCTGGGTTATGCAGATGCTGTGAAAGATTTAAAACATTTTCCAGATCACACATGATTATAAAATATATGAGCAAAATCTGCTCATCCCTTCGGCTCACTTTCACTGTCCTTGGTTGACTGGTAACCGCACTAAAAGCAAACAAACAGCATCAGTATTTAGATGATCAGTTTTAGATTGTTTGATCCACGACATAATTAATATCACATCTACCTAAATCACACTATTCAAGGACATAAGTTCAGTTTGTTTAAATGGGACCAAGTAGATCTGACTGTAAAATTGGCCTTAAACAAGTAGTGAATACTCATATTGTGTACACATGGCTATAAGACTCAAAAAAATAAAGTCGGACTGGACACCGTTCATTGTTATTCTGGTTAAATTAAGGTTCACAGTAATGTTAGTCAACTGGCTGAAATTGAAATTAAATGTGATCTGGAATTTTCAGAGAAATAATGTGAAATTTGTTGCATGCATTTTTAAGACTCCTTAATTTGATGAGTTGTAAAAATTACTAACTGCCAAACAAACAGCTTGATTATGGGGATAAAAAGCTAAGTTTAGGATATAATTTTTTTTATGATATTTTTATCTAAATTCAAAAGCCTGTACTGTCTGAATTGATGTTGAATGCACAGCAAAACAGATTATTTTCAGGCTCTAAATAATATCTTTTGCAAGCATTTCAAAATTTTGTTCAGCCTTGTAGGTACCTGTGGGCATATTTCTGAATTGACATTGAGACTGTTTTTCTCTCTGAACAACCTCTGTATCTGTAGTAACAAATGCAAAAAATATCAACTATCTGACACCAAAGGGAGGTCATAGATAGCCAAATATACACAACAAAACATGAGACGGCGTTGTTTACCATCGGTCAGTGGTGGATCTAGAATAAGACTAACTTAATTTCTGGTTTGTTCATATGGTATTAGAATCATAAGTAGTTTATTGTAAGTCCCAAAAGAAGCTGTTCAAAAATGTATTAATCCATCATGTCATATAAATACCTATACTCAACAAGATGAGGAAGTTGCATTTCTAATAACCAGACTTTGTTGGCAAGGAGAAACCCTTCAAAATGAACTTACCTTCCTCACAGTAAAGCCCAGAGTAGCTTGGGAGACACACACATGTAAAGGAAGCCAGCCCATCAACACATGTGCCTCCATTACGGCATGGATTTGACTGGCACTCATCAATGTCTGGGGAACAACACAGTCAAAACAAGGGTGTAAATTTCCAGTTTATGTGATAGAAAATTTCTAGTATTGGCCAATGTCATACCTGTTTCACACTGATGACCAGTGTAACCTGGAGAACAGCTACATGAATAGATGCTGCCAGTCTTGAAGCAAGATCCTCCATTCAGACAAATGTTCTCCTTACATGAATACATTCCTGTTGAGTAGAAATTATAAAGACTTAGGCAAAATTCTATGAGCATAAACACTTTGCTGTATTGATAAAAAAAATAAATAAATTGAATAAAAGGTACCAGAAATTTCCACAGTCTCGCCAACAACTGTGTGGCCCACATCCAGTCTTATTTGGACAGAGGGGGTTGTTCTTTCTTCTGTTGCTGGGTCTCTTCCATTAAGGAATGGAAATGTTGACATTTTCCTGTCGTCTTTTTCTTTTTCCTCAGAAAAGGATGAAGGTTGTGTGGCTAAAGATGAAACTAATTCTTCCTGGTTTGGTGATTGTGTTGTTGATGTTGTTAATTCTCCATAAACACTTGTGGTAGTTTCTTCATGACCTGTACTGATATCAATTGTACTGATTGTTCTCCCTAAGGTGCTTTCAAGGTTAATTAATTCTATCTTTGATATTGTTGTAGCAGTTGACTTGAATATAGTCTGGGAAGACTCACTTGAAGATGCTTTGGACAGGGTGGAAATATCCTCATTACTAGCGTTTGATTCTGCGGTTTCATTATACTGAGAAACAGATGGAAGAAGTTTTTGGTTTTCTGTACCACTGACTGGGGCAAAATGATCATTTTCAGGATAAAAGCTATTCTGTGGGGATGATGGTTTTCCAATGTTTGCATCAGAAATTAGATTTGGGAGAGCTGTCACATGACTTGCTAAAGCATAATCAACTGGACTCAAAGAATAATCACCTGGATGAAAACTGGTTGATTCTTCAACCGGAAGTTTTTCATGATTTGTAGGCATTGGGTAAATTGTGGCTGGTGATAATTCTTCAGAGAAATTCTCTGAAAAAGTAGTAGTTTGGGCTGTATGTCCAGTCTCAGTTTTGTCGTGACTCGGCATAATTACAACCTGTTGTTCTTTGTTATTGTGATATCTAATACCAGTAGATGGTGTAGATTTTGATAGGATATATTTTCTATCACTGCTAGAACTATTAACTGTGTGATCATTTATAACATACTCTGTTCTATGAGACGGTTGTGTTGCTTCCTCTTCTGTCGGCACTCCATCTGTATCTGGACTTTTTGTTCTTGGATCTGAATGATTTATTGGTTCAAAACTGAGGGGGGTTTCTGTACTTGACAACTGTTCAACTCCTTTTTTGGAAACCTGTTCATCAAATGTTTCAACTGAAACAAAGGTTTCTGTTTCATTTGACGTAACTCCAAATGTGGCATTGTTGGTCATGGCTTGGTCTGAGGTAAGTATATCAAAGGTTTGGTCACCTACAGTCCTATGATCTGTTAAAGTAAAGCCTGAAGATGATTTTGATTTGTGAGTTGTTAATTTTATTGTACTAGACGCCTGTATAGGAGGAAGTGTATTTCCTGGAGATAAGCTTTCAAGAGTTGTTGAGCCATGATCTGAACTATCTTTTTCCTTATACACTGACATTGAGGAAACTGAGTGAACGGTGCTGCTCAAAGAAAAATCAACTGGTTTCTCAGTCACAGTAGAAGAAGATGTGGCCAATTCTAATGTGGAGGGAGGGAGGGTAAATGTGACAGAGCCAGTAGCATCAGGGATGTGGGAATGTTTCAAATTAAATATTGATCTTGGAGTAAAAAGAGAATTAGAAACTGGTTGAAATGTTGACTCATTGCGGTTGGCATCAGAAGAACCATTTCCAATACCCAGGGCAACAACGGTAGTCTCTTTGTTTGTCAACGTGGGTTGTGTACCAGAAAAACTTGTTAATGATCGACTCATAGTCTCATTTGTTTCAGCCTCATCTGTAGCAACAAAAAAGTCATTGTGAGATTTTGTGGTCAGTTCAGTGTGCCTTGCATCTGATAAGCTTGCCGGACTGATTGCCGGGGCAGACGTTTCAAGAAAGGGTTGCTGAGCTTCTGTTTGTATTTTAGGACTAGTGTAATTTATGTCTAAAGATCCTCCAAAGGCTGAATTCTTCATCTCATTGAAATCAACAGTCTCAGGAGATAACACCTCTTCATTGGTAAAAGAAAAGTTAGGCTCATAAGTGCTCAATCTTGTAGTGACTTCAAATGATGAAATAAATGAAAACAATCCAACAGATTCAGAAGTTGTCTGAGGCATGGCCTTTTCGTTGTCGTTGTTTACTGTATGGACATTAGTTTTTGAAATATCACTTGTTTCCGCTTTTCTTGTTGATGAGACGGACAGAATACTGAAAGCAGAAGAGCCAGCCGTAGTTTTAGTGATGGGTGTGTCAGTAGACTTTGTGATGTTTTCACCAGAAGTACCTCGTTCTGGTCTCACTGAGGAAGCCTCTGATTCAGGAGATATTGTTGCTGTGTCAATACTGTAGAAACTTGAAGATGTATCAATAACTGTTATAGATGATGTCAACAAATCTGTACTCATAGTTCCTGAACCGTCAATATCTTCTGGAGTAGCACCAAGGCTTATCTCTGGATTTTCAGAAAGGGATGAAACTGAGGGGAGAGTTCTTTGTTCTGTTGAAAAGCTACCAACTTGTTCTGCTGTTGTTGTCTCTGGACTGATTAACGAGGAACCTTTTGGAGTGTGTTTGCTGGACATTTCTCCAGGGTATCCACTAGTATATGGATTTGTGCTTCCTCTATCTGTACTGGCGGAAATTGACATTTCAAATGAAGCTGCAGATTTTGCTTGAGAATGGGATGTGGTAAAAGTTTGTTCTGTTTCAGGAGACGCCAATGTTGGTTTTGCTGTGCTAAGGAGTGAGACGGCTGGCGTAACTGCAGTTTTGGACACATCACTTGTTTCAGATGTGTATGTGTGAGACTGAAGGTGACTTTGTGCCAATTGTTGGATAATTTCCTGTTGTCATCATTGACTCAGCAGTGACATTAGAATGTGCGGCATGTTCTGTATCTGTGATAATGAGCTTCGAAGCTGTGTCAGGATGAATAAGTGATCCACTCAATACAGGAAGGGATTCCAAAATTGAAATCTTTGTATTCATTTCTTCATACTGATCATACGAAGTTGTGGATGATGAGATAGATGGAGTAATCGGAGAAAGCGTTGATGGGCTCATGGGGTTTGGGTCAGAGACAGCAGATGTTGGGAATGCAGTTGCAATGGTCACAAGTGACTTGACAGGAAAAGCATCAGAGCCTTCTCCAGAAGTTTCAGGATCTGTGCTTATTTTAGTCGTCATAGTTTCAGGAGATTGCGTTGTCTCATTGACAATATCAGATGAAGATAATTCGATAACAGTGGAGACTGCTGTGGACATATCAATGGTTTGGCCTCTATCTACTGGAGAAGCAACAGAAGAACTTTCTGTACTGCCTGTTACAGTGGAAAGTGAAGGTCTCGTTGTCTGACCTGTTTGAACACTGTCGTCATGCTTAGGTAGAAGATCTGTTGTCTTCTCAGTGCTGAACAATGAGGAGCCAGTAGAAGATGCACTTTGTGTGTGAGACATTTCACTTGTTGGTTCACTTGTCCCATCTCCTCTTGTAACTGGAGATTTTGAACTTTCCTCTGGACCTGATGACGTTTCCTGCAAATTCACTGTAGCTAAAGTCTGATATGTTTCAGATGACATTAACGATGGTTCCTGTGTGCTCTGGAGTGTTGAAGCTGAAGAAACATCTGTTTTTGAAATATCACTTGTTTCCGTTTTTCTTGTTGACGAGACGGACAGAATACTGAAAGCAGAAGAGCCAGCCATAGTTTTAGTGATGGGTGTGTCAGTATACTTTGTGATGTTTTCACCATAAGTACCTTGTTCTGGTCTCACTGAGGAAGCCTCTGATTCAGGAGATATTGTTGCTGTGTCAATACTGTAGAAACTTGAAGATGTATCAATAACTGTTATAGATGATGTCAACAAATCTGTACTCATAGTTCCTGAACCATCAATATCTTCTGGAGTAGCACCAAGGCTTATCTCTGGATTTTCAGAAAGGGATGAAACTGAGGGGAGAGTTCTTTGTTCTGTTGAAAAGCTACCAACTTGTTCTGCTTTTGTGGTCTCTGGACTGATTAACGAGGAACCTTTTGGAGTGTGTTGCTGGACATTTCTCCAGGGTATCCACTAGTATATGGATTTGTGCTCCCTCTATCTGTAATGGCGGAAGTTGACATTTCAAATGCAGTTGCAGGTTTTGTTTGAGAATGGGATGTGGTAAAGTTTGTTCTGTTTCAGGAGACGACAATGTTGATTTTGCTGTGCTAAGGAGTGAGGCGGCTGGCGTAACTGCAGTTTTGGACACATCACTTGTTTCAGATGTGTATGTCTCTGAGACTGAAGGTGACTTTGTGCCAATTGTTGGATAATTTCCTGTTGTCTCATTGACAATATCAGATGAAGATAATTTGATAACAGTGGCAACTGCTGTGGACATGTCAATGGTTTGGCCTCTATCTACTGGAGAAGCAACAGAAGAACTTTCTGTACTGCCTGTTACAGTGGAAAGTGAAGGTCTCGTTGTCTGACCTGTTTGAACACTGTCGTCATGCTTAGGTAGAAGATCTGTTGTCTCTCAGTGCTGAACAATGAGGAGCCAGTAGAAGATGCACTTTGTGTGTGAGACATTTCACTTGTTGGTTCACTTGTCCCATCTCCTCTTGTAACTGGAGATTTTGAACTTTCCTCTGGACCTGATGACGTTTCCTGCAAATTCACTGTAGCTAAAGTCTGGTATGTTTCAGATGACATTAACGATGGTTCCTGTGTGCTCTGGAGTGTTGAAGCTGAAGAAACATCTGTTTTTGAAATATCACTTGTTTCCGCTTTTCTTGTTGACGAGACGGACAGAATACTGAAAGCAGAAGAGCCAGCCGTAGTTTTAGTGATGGGTGTGTCAGTAGACTTTGTGATGTTTTCACCAGAAGTGCCTTGTTCTGGTCTCACTGAGGAAGCCTCTGATTCAGGAGATATTGTTGCTGTGTCAATACTGTAGAAACTTGAAGATGTATCAATAACTGTTATAGATGATGTCAACAAATCTGTACTCATAGTTCCTGAACCGTCAATATCTTCTGGAGTAACACCAAGGCTTATCTCTGGATTTTCAGAAAGGGATGAAACTGAGGGTAGAGTTCTTTGTTCTGTTGAAAAGCTACCAACTTGTTCTGCTGTTGTGGTCTCTGGACTGATTAACGAGGAACCTTTTGGAGTGTGTTTGCTGGACATTTCTCCAGGGTATCCACTAGTATATGGATTTGTGCTCCCTCTATCTGTAATGGCGGAAATTGACATTTCAAATGAAGCTGCAGATTTGCTTGAGAATGGGATGTGGTAAACGTTTGTTCTGTTTCAGGAGACGCCAATGTTGGTTTTGCTGTGCTAAGGAGTGAGACGGCTGGCGTAACTGCAGTTTTGGACACATCACTTGTTTCAGATGTGTATGTCTCTGAGACTGAAGGTGACTTTGTGCCAATTGTTGGATAATTTCCTGTTGTCGTCATTGACTCAGCAGTGACATTAGAATGTGCGGCATGTTCTGTATCTGTGATAATGAGCTTCGAAGCTGTGTCAGGATGAATAAGTGATCCACTCAATACAGGAAGGGATTCCAAAATTGAAATCTTTGTATTCATTTCTTCATACTGATCATACGGAGTTGTTGATGATGAGATAGATGGAGTAATCGGAGAAAGCGTTGATGGGCTCATGGGTTTGGGTCAGAGACAGCAGATGTTGGGAATGCAGTTGCAATGGTCACAAGTGACTTGACAGGAAAAGCATCAGAGCCTTCTCCAGAAGTTTCAGGATCTGTGCTTATTTTAGTCGTCATAGTTTCAGGAGATTGCGTTGTCTCATTGACAATATCAGATGAAGATAATTCGATATCAGTGGCGACTGCTGTGGACATGTCAATGGTTTGGCCTCTATCTACTGGAGAAGCAACAGAAGAACTTTCTGTACTGCCTGATACAGTGGAAAGTGAAGGTCTCGTTGTCTGACCTGTTTGAACACTGTCGTCATGCTTAGGTAGAAGATCTGTTGTCTCAGTGCTGAACAATGAGGAGCCAGTAGAAGATGCACTTTGTGTGTGAGACATTTCACTTGTTGGTTCACTTGTCCCATCTCCTTGTAACTGGAGATTTTGAACTTTCCTCTGGACCTGATGACGTTCCTGCAAATTCACTGTAGCTAAAGTCTGATATGTTTCAGATGACATTAACGATGGTTCCTGTGTGCTCTGGAGTGTTGAAGCTGAAGAAACATCTGTTTTTGAAATATCACTTGTTTCCGCTTTTCTTGTTGACGAGACGGACAGAATACTGAAAGCAGAAGAGCCAGCCGTAGTTTTAGTGATGGGTGTGTCAGTAGACTTTGTGATGTTTTCACCAGAAGTGCCTTGTTCTGGTCTCACTGAGGAAGCCTCTGATTCAGGAGATATTGTTGCTGTGTCAATACTGTAGAAACTTGAAGATGTATCAATAACTGTTATAGATGATGTCAACAAATCTGTACTCATAGTTCCTGAAACATCAATATCTTCTGGAGTAGCACCAAGGCTTATCTCTGGATTTTCAGAAAGGGATGAAACTGAGGCAAGAGTTCTTTGTTCTGTTGAAAAGCTACCAACTTGTTCTGCTTTTGTGGTCTCTGGACTGATTAACGAGGAACCTTTTGGAGTGTTTGCTGGACATTTCTCCAGGGTATCCACTAGTATGGATTTGTGCTCCCTCTATCTGTAATGGCGGAACTTGACATTTCAATGCAGTTGCAGGTTTTGTTTGAGAATGGGATGTGGTAAAAGTTTGTTCTGTTTCAGGAGACGCCAATGTTGGTTTTGCTGTGCTAAGGAGTGAGACGGCTGGCGTAACTGCAGTTTTGGACACATCACTTGTTTCAGATGTGTATGTCTCTGAGACTGAAGGTGACTTTGTGCCAATTGTTGGATAATTTTGTTGTCTCATTGACAATATCAGATGAAGATAATTCGATAACAGTGGCAACTGCTGTGGACATGTCAATGGTTTGGCCTCTATCTACTGGAGAAGCAACAGAAGAACTTTCTGTACTGCCTGATACAGTGGAAAGTGAAGGTCTCGTTGTCTGACCTGTTTGAACACTGTCGTCATGCTTAGGTAGAAGATCTGTTGTCTTCTCAGTGCTGAACAATGAGGAGCCAGTAGAAGATGCACTTTGTGTGTGAGACATTTCACTTGTTGGTTCACCATCTCCTCTTGTAACTGGAGATTTTGAACTTTCCTCTGGACCTGATGACGTTTCCTGCAAATTCACTGTAGCTAAAGTCTGGTATGTTTCAGATGACATTAACGATGGTTCCTGTGTACTCTGAGTGTTGAAGCTGAAGAAACATCTGTTTTTGAAATATCACTTGTTTCCGCTTTTCTTGTTGACGAGACGGACAGAATACTGAAAGCAGAAGAGCCAGCCGTAGTTTTAGTGATGGTGTGTCAGTAGACTTTGTGATGTTTTCACCAGAAGTACCTTGTTCTGGTGTCACTGAGGAAGCCTCTGATTCAGGAGATATTGTTGCTGTCAATAGTGTATAAACTTGAAGATGTATCAATAACTGTTATAGATGATGTCAACAAATCTGTACTCATAGTTCCTGAACCGTCAATATCTTCTGGAGTAACACCAAGGCTTATCTCTGGATTTTCAGAAAGGGATGAAACTGAGGGTAGAGTTCTTTGTTCTGTTGAAAAGCTACCAACTTGTTCTGCTGTTGTGGTCTCTGGACTGATTAACGAGGAACCTTTTGGAGTGTGTTTGCTGGACATTTCTCCAGGGTATCCACTAGTATATGGATTTGTGCTCCCTCTATCTGTAATGGCGGAACTTGACATTTCAAATGCAGTTGCAGGTTTTGTTTGAGAATGGGATGTGGTAAAAGTTTGTTCTGTTTCAGGAGACGCCAATGTTGATTTTGCTGTGCTAAGGAGTGAGGCGGCTGGCGTAACTGCAGTTTTGGACACATCACTTGTTTCAGATGTGTATGTGTCTGAGACTGAAGGTGACTTTGTGCCAATTGTTGGATAATTCCTGTTTGTCTCATTGACAATATCAGATGAAGATAATTCGATAACAGTGGAGACTGCTGTGGACATGTCAATGGTTTGGCCTCTATCTACTGGAGAAGCAACAGAAGAACTTTCTGTACTGCCTGTTACAGTGGAAAGTGAAGGTCTCGTTGTCTGACCTGTTTGAACACTGTCGTCATGCTTAGGTAGAAGATAGGTTGTCTTCTCAGTGCTGAACAATGAGGAGCCAGTAGAAGATGCACTTTGTGTGTGAGACATTTCACTTGTTGGTTCACTTGTCCCATCTCCTCTTGTAACTGGAGATTTTGAACTTTCCTCTGGACCTGATGACGTTTCCTGCAAATTCACTGTAGCTAAAGTCTGATATGTTTCAGATGACATTAACGATGGTTCCTGTGTTGCCGCTGAAGAAACATCTGTTTTTGAAATATCACTTGTTTCCGCTTTTCTTGTTGACGAGACGGACAGACGGAAAGAGAAGAGCCAGCCATAGTTTTAGTGATGGGTGTGTCAGTAGACTTTGTGATGTTTTCACCAGAAGTGCCTTGTTCTGGTCTCACTGAGGAAGCCTCTGATTCAGGAGATATTGTTGCTGTGTAAATACTGTAGAAACTTGAAGATGTATCAATAACTGTTATAGATGATGTCAACAAATCTGTACTCATAGTTCCTGAACCATCAATATCTTCTGGAGTATCACCAAGGCTTATCTCTGGATTTTCAGAAAAGGATGAAACTGAGGCGAGAGTTCTTTGTTCTGTTGAAAAGCTACCAACTTGTTCTGCTGTTGTGGTCTCTGGACTGATTAACGAGGATCCTTTTGGAGTTTGTTTGCTGGACATTTCTCCAGGGTATCCACTAGTATATGGATTTGTGCTCCCTCTATCTGTAATGGCGGAAGTTGACATTTCAAATGCAGTTGCAGGTTTTGTTTGAGAATGGGATGTGGTAAAAGTTTGTTCTGTTTCAGGAGACGCCAATGTTGGTTTTGCTGTGCTAAGGAGTGAGACGGCTGGCGTAACTGCAGTTTTGGACACATCACTTGTTTCAGATGTGTATGTCTCTGAGACTGAAGGTGACTTTGTGCCAATTGTTGGATAATTTCCTGTTGTCTCATTGACAATATCAGATGAAGATAATTCGATAACAGTGGCAACTGCTGTGGACATGTCAATGGTTTGGCCTCTATCTACTGGAGAAGCAACAGAAGAACTTTCTGTACTGCCTGATACAGTGGAAAGTGAAGGTCTCGTTGTCTGACCTGTTTGAACACTGTCGTCATGTTTAGGTAGAAGATCTGTTGTCTTCTCAGTGCTGAACAATGAGGAGCCAGTAGAAGATGCACTTTGTGTGTGAGACATTTCACTTGTTGGTTCACTTGTCCCATCTCCTCTTGTAACTGGAGATTTTGAACTTTCCTCTGGACCTGATGACGTTTCCTGCAAATTCACTGTAGCTAAAGTCTGGTATGTTTCAGATGACATTAACGATGGTTCCTGTGTGCTCTGGAGTGTTGAAGCTGAAGAAACATCTGTTTTTGAAATATCACTTGTTTCCGCTTTTCTTGTTGACGAGACGGACAGAATACTGAAAGCAGAAGAGCCAGCCGTAGTTTTAGTGATGGGTGTGTCAGTAGACTTTGTGATGTTTTCACCAGAAGTGCCTTGTTCTGGTCTCACTGAGGAAGCCTCTGATTCAGGAGATATTGTTGCTGTGTCAATAGTGTATAAACTTGAAGATGTATCAATAACTGTTATAGATGATGTCAACAAATCTGTACTCATAGTTCCTGAACCGTCAATATCTTCTGGAGTAACACCAAGGCTTATCTCTGGATTTTCAGAAAGGGATGAAACTGAGGGTAGAGTTCTTTGTTCTGTTGAAAAGCTACCAACTTGTTCTGCTGTTGTGGTCTCTGGACTGATTAACGAGGAACCTTTTGGAGTGTGTTTGCTGGACATTTCTCCAGGGTATCCACTAGTATATGGATTTGTGCTTCCTCTATCTGTACTGGCGGAAATTGACATTTCAAATGAAGCTGCAGATTTTGCTTGAGAATGGGATGTGGTAAAAGTTTGTTCTGTTTCAGGAGACGCCAATGTTGGTTTTGCTGTGCTAAGGAGTGAGACGGCTGGCGTAACTGCAGTTTTGGACACATCACTTGTTTCAGATGTGTATGTCTCTGAGACTGAAGGTGACTTTGTGCCAATTGTTGGATAATTTCCTGTTGTCTCATTGACAATATCAGATGAAGATAATTCGATAACAGCGGAGGCTGCTGTGGATATGTCAATGGTTTGACCTCTATCTACTGGAGAAGCAATAGAAGGACTTTCTGTACTGCCTGTTACAGTGGAAAGTGAAGGTCTCGTTGTCTGACCTGTTTGAACACTGTCGTCATGCTTAGGTAGAAGATCTGTTGTCTTCTCAGTGCTGAACAATGAGGAGCCAGTAGAAGATGCACTTTGTGTGTGAGACATTTCACTTGTTGGTTCACTTGTCCCATCTCCTCTTGTAACTGGAGATTTTGAACTTTCCTCTGGACCTGATGACGTTTCCTGCAAATTCACTGTAGCTAAAGTCTGGTATGTTTCAGATGACATTAACGATGGTTCCTGTGTGCTCTGGAGTGTTGAAGCTGAAGAAACATCTGTTTTTGAAATATCACTTGTTTCCGCGTTTCTTGTTGACGAGACGGACAGAATACTGAAAGCAGAAGAGCCAGCCGTAGTTTTAGTGATGGGTGTGTCAGTAGACTTTGTGATGTTTTCACCAGAAGTACCTTGTTCTAGTCTCACTGAGGAAGCCTCTGATTCAGGAGATATTGTTGCTGTGTCAATACTGTAGAAACTTGAAGATGTATCAATAACTGTTATAGATGATGTCAACAAATCTGTACTCATAGTTCCTGAACCGTCAATATCTTCTGGAGTAACACCAAGGCTTATCTCTGGATTTTCAGAAAGGGATGAAACTGAGGGGAGAGTTCTTTGTTCTGTTGAAAAGCTACCAACTTGTTCTGCTGTTGTGGTCTCTGGACTGATTAACGAGGAACCTTTTGGAGTGTGTTTGCTGGACATTTCTCCAGGGTATCCACTAGTATATGGATTTGTGCTCCCTCTATCTGTAATGGCGGAACTTGACATTTCAAATGCAGTTGCAGGTTTTGTTTGCGAATGGGATGTGGTAAAAGTTTGTTCTGTTTCAGGAGACGCCAATGTTGGTTTGCTGTGCTAAGGAGTGAGACGGCTGGCGTAACTGCAGTTTTTGGACACATCACTTGTTTCAGATGTGTATGTGTCTGAGACTGAAGGTGACTTTGTGCCAATTGTTGGATAATTTCCTGTTGTCTCATTGACAATATCAGATGAAGATAATTCGATAACAGTGGAGACTGCTGTGGACATGTCAATGGTTTGGCCTCTATCTACTGGAGAAGCAACAGAAGAACTTTCTGTACTGCCTGTTACAGTGGAAAGTGAAGGTCTCGTTGTCTGACCTGTTTGAACACTGTCGTCATGCTTAGGTAGAAGATAGGTTGTCTTCTCAGTGCTGAACAATGAGGAGCCAGTAGAAGATGCACTTTCTGTGTGAGACATTTCACTTGTTGGTTCACTTGTCCCATCTCCTCTTGTAACTGGAGATTTTGAACTTTCCTCTGGACCTGATGACGTTTCCTGCAAATTCACTGTAGCTAAAGTCTGGTATGTTTTCAGATGACATTAACGATGGTTCCTGTGTGCTCTGGAGTGTTGAAGCTGAAGAAACATCTGTTTTTGAAATATCACTTGTTTCCGCTTTCTTGTCGACGAGACGGACAGAATACTGAAAGCAGAAGAGCCAGCCGTAGTTTTAGTGATGGGTGTGTCAGTAGACTTTGTGATGTTTTCACCAGAAGTACCTTGTTCTGGTCTCACTGAGGAAGCCTCTGATTCAGGAGATATTGTTGCTGTGTCAATAGTGTATAAACTTGAAGATGTATCAATAACTGTTATAGATGATGTCAACAAATCTGTACTCATAGTTCCTGAACCGTCAATATCTTCTGGAGTAGCACCAAGGCTTATCTCTGGATTTTCAGAAAGGGATGAAACTGAGGGGAGAGTTCTTTGTTCTGTTGAAAAGCTACCAACTTGTTCTGCTGTTGTGGTCTCTGGACTGATTAACGAGGAACCTTTTGGAGTGTGTTTGCTGGACATTTCTCCAGGGTATCCACTAGTATATGGATTTGTGCTCCCTCTATCTGTAATGGCGGAACTTGACATTTCAAATGCAGTTGCAGGTTTTGTTTGAGAATGGGATGTGGTAAAAGTTTGTTCTGTTTCAGGAGACGCCAATGTTGGTTTTGCTGTGCTAAGGAGTGAGACGGCTGGCGTAACTGCATTTTTGGACACATCACTTGTTTCAGATGTGTATGTCTCTGAGACTGAAGGTGACTTTGTGCCAATTGTTGGATAATTTCCTGTTGTCTCATTGACAATATCAGATGAAGATAATTCGATAACAGTGGAGACTGCTGTGGACATGTCAATGGTTTGGCCTCTATCTACTGGAGAACAACAGAAGAACTTTCTGTACTGCCTGTTACAGTGGAAAGTGAAGGTCTCGTTGTCTGACCTGTTGTTTGAACACTGTCGTCATGCTTAGGTAGAAGATCTGTTGTCTTCTCAGTGCTGAACAATGAGGAGCCAGTAGAAGATGCACTTTGTGTGTGAGACATTTCACTTGTTGGTTCACTTGTCCCATCTCCTCTTGTAACTGGAGATTTTGAACTTTCCTCTGGACCTGATGACGTTTCCTGCAAATTCACTGTAGCTAAAGTCTGGTATGTTTCAGATGACATTAACGATGGTTCCTGTGTGCTCTGGAGTGTTGAAGCTGAAGAAACATCTGTTTTTGAAATATCACTTGTTTCCGCTTTTCTTGTTGACGAGATGGACAGAATACTGAAAGCAGAAGAGCCAGCCGTAGTTTTAGTGATGGGTGTGTCAGTAGACTTTGTGATGTTTCACCAGAAGTACCTTGTTCTGGTCTCACTGAGGAAGCCTCTGATTCAGGAGATATTGTTGCTGTGTCAATACTGTAGAAACTTGAAGATGTATCAATAACTGTTATAGATGATGTCAACAAATCTGTACTCATAGTTCCTGAACCGTCAATATATTCTGGAGTAACACCATTATCTCTGGATTTCAGAAAGGGATGAAACTGAGGGTAGAGTTCTTTGTTCTGTTGAAAGCTACCAACTTGTTCTGCTGTTGTGGTCTCTGACTGATTAACGAGGAACCTTTTGGAGTGTGTTTGCTGGACATTTCTCCAGGGTATCCACTAGTATATGGATTTGTGCTCCCTCTATCTGTAATGGCGGAACTTGACATTCAAATGCAGTTGCAGGTTTTGTTTGAGAATGGGATGTGGTAAAAGTTTGTTCTGTTTCAGGAGACGCCAATGTTGGTTTTGCTGTGCTAAGGAGTGAGACGGCTGGCGTAACTGCAGTTTTGGACACATCACTTGTTTCAGATGTGTATGTCTCTGAGACTGAAGGTGACTTTGTGCCAATTGTTGGATAATTTCCTGTTGTCTCATTGACAATATCAGATGAAGATAATTCGATAACAGCGGAGGCTGCTGTGGATATGTCAATGGTTTGGCCTCTATCTACTGGAGAAGCAACAGAAGGACTTTCTGTACTGCCTGATACAGTGGAAAGTGAAGGTCTCGTTGTCTGACCTGTTTGAACACTGTCGTCATGCTTAGGTAGAAGATCTGTTGTCTTCTCAGTGCTGAACAATGAGGAGCCAGTAGAAGATGCACTTTGTGTGTGAGACATTTCACTTGTTGGTTCACTTGTCCCATCTCCTCTTGTAACTGGAGATTTTGAACTTTCCTCTGGACCTGATGACGTTCCTGCAAATTCACTGTAGCTAAAGTCTGGTATGTTTCAGATGACATTAACGATGGTTCCTGTGTGCTCTGGAGTGTTGAAGCTGAAGAAACATCTGTTTTTGAAATATCACTTGTTTCCGCTTTTCTTGTTGACGAGATGGACAGAATACTGAAAGCAGAAGAGCCAGCCGTAGTTTTAGTGATGGTTGTGTCAGTAGACTTTGTGATGTTTTCACCAGAAGTACTTTTCTGGTCTCACTGAGGAAGCCTCTGATTCAGGAGATATTGTTGCTGTGTCAATACTGTAGAAACTTGAAGATGTATCAATAACTGTTATAGATGATGTCAACAAATCTGTACTCATAGTTCCTGAACCGTCAATATCTTCTGGAGTAACACAAGGCTTATCTCTGGATTTTCAGAAAGGGATGAAACTGAGGGGAGAGTTCTTTGTTCTGTTGAAAAGCTACCAACTTGTTCTGCTGTTGTGGTCTCTGGACTGATTAACGAGGAACCTTTTGGAGTGTGTTTGCTGGACATTTCTCCAGGGTATCCACTAGTATATGGATTTGTGCTCCCTCTATCTGTAATGGCGGAACTTGACATTTCAAATGCAGTTGCAGGTTTTGTTTGAGAATGGGATGTGGTAAAAGTTTGTTCTGTTTCAGGAGATGCCAATGTTGGTTTTGCTGTGCTAAGGAGTGAGACGGCTGGCGTAACTGCAGTTTTGGACACATCACTTGTTTCAGATGTGTATGTCTCTGAGACTGAAGGTGACTTTGTGCCAATTGTTGGATAATTTCCTGTTGTCTCATTGACAATATCAGATGAAGATAATTCGATAACAGCGGAGGCTGCTGTGGATATGTCAATGGTTTGGCCTCTATCTACTGGAGAAGCAACAGAAGGACTTTCTGTACTGCCTGTTACAGTGGAAAGTGAAGGTCTCGTTGTCTGACCTGTTTGAACACTGTCGTCATGCTTAGGTAGAAGATCTGTTGTCTTCTCAGTGCTGAACAATGAGGAGCCAGTAGAAGATGCACTTTGTGTGTGAGACATTTCACTTGTTGGTTCACTTGTCCCATCTCCTCTTGTAACTGGAGATTTTGAACTTTCCTCTGGACCTGATGACGTTTCCTGCAAATTCACTGTAGCTAAAGTCTGGTGTTTCAGATGACATTAACGATGGTTCCTGTGTGCTCTGGAGTGTTGAAGCTGAAGAAACATCTGTTTTTGAAATATCACTTGTTTCCGCTTTTCTTGTTGACGAGACGGACAGAATACTGAAAGCAGAAGAGCCAGCCGTAGTTTTAGTGATGGGTGTGTCAGTAGACTTTGTGATGTTTTCACCAGATACCTTGTTCTGGTCTCACTGAGGAAGCCTCTGATTCAGGAGATATTGTTGCTGTGTCAATACTGTAGAAACTTGAAGATGTATCAATAACTGTTATAGATGATGTCAACAAATCTGTACTCATAGTTCCTGAACCGTCAATATCTTCTGGAGTAACACCAAGGCTTATCTCTGGATTTTCAGAAAGGGATGAAACTGAGGGGAGAGTTCTTTGTTCTGTTGAAAAGCTACCAACTTGTTCTGCTGTTGTGGTCTCTGGACTGATTAACGAGGAACCTTTTGGAGTGTGTTTGCTGGACATTTCTCCAGGGTATCCACTAGTATATGGATTTGTGCTCCCTCTATCTGTAATGGCGGAACTTGACATTTCAAATGCAGTTGCAGGTTTTGTTTGAGAATGGGATGTGGTAAAAGTTTGTTCTGTTTCAGGAGATGCCAATGTTGGTTTTGCTGTGCTAAGGAGTGAGGCGGCTGGCGTAACTGCAGTTTTGGACACATCACTTGTTTCAGATGTGTATGTCTCTGAGACTGAAGGTGACTTTGTGCCAATTGTTGGATAATTTCCTGTTGTCTCATTGACAATATCAGATGAAGATAATTCGATAACAGCGGAGGCTGCTGTGGATATGTCAATGGTTTGGCCTCTATCTACTGGAGAAGGAACAGAAGGACTTTCTGTACTGCCTGTTACAGTGGAAAGTGAAGGTCTCGTTGTCTGACCTGTTTGAACACTGTCGTCATGCTTAGGTAGAAGATCTGTTGTCTTCTCAGTGCTGAACAATGAGGAGCCAGTAGAAGATGCACTTTGTGTGTGAGACATTTCACTTGTTGGTTCACTTGTCCCATCTCCTCTTGTAACTGGAGATTTTGAACTTTCCTCTGGACCTGATGACGTTTCCTGCAAATTCACTGTAGCTAAAGTCTGGTATGTTTCAGATGACATTAACGATGGTTCCTGTGTGCTCTGGAGTGTTGAAGCTGAAGAAACATCTGTTTTTGAAATATCACTTGTTTCCGCTTTCTTGTTGACGAGACGGACAGAATACTGAAAGCAGAAGAGCCAGCCGTAGTTTAGTGATGGGTGTGTCAGTAGACTTTGTGATGTTTTCACCAGAAGTACCTTGTCTGGTCTCACTGAGGAAGCCTCTGATTCAGGAGATATTGTTGCTGTGTCAATACTGTATAAACTTGAAGATGTATCAATAACTGTTATAGATGATGTCAACAAATCTGTACTCATAGTTCCTGAACCGTCAATATCTTCTGGAGTAACACCAAGGCTTATCTCTGGATTTTCAGAAAGGGATGAAACTGAGGGAGAGTTCTTTGTTCTGTTGAAAAGCTACCAACTTGTTCTGCTGTTGTGGTCTCTGGACTGATTAACGAGGAACCTTTTGGAGTGTGTGTTTGCTGGACATTTCTCCAGGGTATCCACTAGTTATGGATTTGTGCTCCCTCTATCTGTAATGGCGGAACTTGACATTTCAAATGCAGTTGCAGGTTTTGTTGAGAATGGGATGTGGTAAAAGTTTGTTCTGTTTCAGGAGATGCCAATGTTGGTTTTGCTGTGCTAAGGAGTGAGACGGCTGGCGTAACTGCAGTTTTGGACACATCACTTGTTTCAGATGTGTATGTCTCTGAGACTGAAGGTGACTTTGTGCCAATTGTTGGATAATTTCCTGTTGTCTCATTGACAATATCAGATGAAAGATAATTCGATAACATGGCGGACTGCTGTGGACATGTCAATGGTTTGGCCTCTATCTACTGGAGAAGCAACAGAAGAACTTTCTGTACTGCCTGATACAGTGGAAAGTGAAGGTCTCGTTGTCTGACCTGTTTGAACACTGTCGTCATGCTTAGGTAGAAGATCTGTTGTCTTCTCAGTGCTGAACAATGAGGAGCCAGTAGAAGATGCACTTTGTGTGTGAGACATTTCACTTGTTGGTTTACTTGTCCCATCTCCTCTTGTAACTGGAGATTTTGAACTTTCCTCTGGACCTGATGACGTTTCCTGCAAATTCACTGTAGCTAAAGTCTGGTATGTTTCAGATGACATTAACGATGGTTCCTGTGTGCTCTGGAGTGTTGAAGCTGAAGAAACATCTGTTTTTGAAATATCACTTGTTTCCGCTTTTCTTGTTGACGAGACGGACAGAATACTGAAAGCAGAAGAGCCAGCCGTAGTTTTAGTGATGGGTGTGTCAGTAGACTTTGTGATGTTTTCACCAGAAGTACCTTGTTCTGGTCTCACTGAGGAAGCCTCTGATTCAGGAGATATTGTTGCTGTGTCAATACTGTATAAACTTGAAGATGTATCAATAACTGTTATAGATGATGTCAACAAATCTGTACTCATAGTTCCTGAACCGTCAATATCTTCTGGAGTAGCACCAAGGCTTATCTCTGGATTTTCAGAAAGGGATGAAACTGAGGGGAGAGTTCTTTGTTCTGTTGAAAAGCTACCAACTTGTTCTGCTGTTGTGGTCTCTGGACTGATTAACGAGGAACCTTTTGGAGTGTGTTTGCTGGACATTTCTCCAGGGTATCCACTAGTATATGGATTTGTGCTCCCTCTATCTGTAATGGCGGAACTTGACATTTCAAATGCAGTTGCAGGTTTTGTTTGAGAATGGGATGTGGTAAAAGTTTGTTCTGTTTCAGGAGATGCCAATGTTGGTTTTGCTGTGCTAAGGAGTGAGACGGCTGGCGTAACTGCAGTTTTGGACACATCACTTGTTTCAGATGTGTATGTCTCTGAGACTGAAGGTGACTTTGTGCCAATTGTTGGATAATTTCCTGTTGTCTCATTGACAATATCAGATGAAGATAATTCGATAACAGCGGAGGCTGCTGTGGATATGTCAATGGTTTGGCCTCTATCTACTGGAGAAGCAACAGAAGGACTTTCTGTACTGCCTGATACAGTGGAAAGTGAAGGTCTCGTTGTCTGACCTGTTTGAACACTGTCGTCATGCTTAGGTAGAAGATCTGTTGTCTTCTCAGTGCTGAACAATGAGGAGCCAGTAGAAGATGCACTTTGTGTGTGAGACATTTCACTTGTTGGTTCACTTGTCCCATCTCCTCTTGTAACTGGAGATTTTGAACTTTCCTCTGGACCTGATGACGTTTCCTGCAAATTCACTGTAGCTAAAGTCTGGTATGTTTCAGATGACATTAACGATGGTTCCTGTGTGCTCTGGAGTGTTGAAGCTGAAGAAACATCTGTTTTTGAAATATCACTTGTTTCCGCTTTTCTTGTTGACGAGACGGACAGAATACTGAAAGCAGAAGAGCCAGCCGTAGTTTTAGTGATGGGTGTGTCAGTAGACTTTGTGATGTTTTCACCAGAAGCCTTGTTCTGGTCTCACTGAGGAAGCCTCTGATTCAGGAGATATTGTTGCTGTGTCAATACTGTAGAAACTTGAAGATGTATCAATAACTGTTATAGATGATGTCAACAAATCTGTACTCATAGTTCCTGAACCGTCAATATCTTCTGGAGTAACACCAAGGCTTATCTCTGGATTTTCAGAAAGGGATGAAACTGAGGGGAGAGTTCTTTGTTCTGTTGAAAAGCTACCAACTTGTTCTGCTGTTGTGGTCTCTGGACTGATTAACGAGGAACCTTTTGGAGTGTGTTTGCTGGACATTTCTCCAGGGTATCCACTAGTATATGGATTTGTGCTCCCTCTATCTGTAATGGCGGAACTTGACATTTCAAATGCAGTTGCAGGTTTTGTTTGAGAATGGGATGTGGTAAAAGTTTGTTCTGTTTCAGGAGATGCCAATGTTGGTTTTGCTGTGCTAAGGAGTGAGACGGCTGGCGTAACTGCAGTTTTGGACACATCACTTGTTTCAGATGTGTATGTCTCTGAGACTGAAGGTGACTTTGTGCCAATTGTTGGATAATTTCCTGTTGTCTCATTGACAATATCAGATGAAGATAATTCGATAACAGCGGAGGCTGCTGTGGATATGTCAATGGTTTGGCCTCTATCTACTGGAGAAGCAACAGAAGGACTTTCTGTACTGCCTGATACAGTGGAAAGTGAAGGTCTCGTTGTCTGACCTGTTTGAACACTGTCGTCATGCTTAGGTAGAAGATCTGTTGTCTTCTCAGTGCTGAACAATGAGGAGCCAGTAGAAGATGCACTTTGTGTGTGAGACATTTCACTTGTTGGTTCACTTGTCCCATCTCCTCTTGTAACTGGAGATTTTGAACTTTCCTCTGGACCTGATGACGTTTCCTGCAAATTCACTGTAGCTAAAGTCTGGTATGTTTCAGATGACATTAACGATGGTTCCTGTGTGCTCTGGAGTGTTGAAGCTGAAGAAACATCTGTTTTTGAAATATCACTTGTTTCCGCTTTCTTGTTGACGAGACGGACAGAATACTGAAAGCAGAAGAGCCAGCCGTAGTTTTAGTGATGGGTGTGTCAGTAGACTTTGTGATGTTTTCACCAGAAGTACCTTGTTCTGGTCTCACTGAGGAAGCCTCTGATTCAGGAGATATTGTTGCTGTGTCAATACTGTAGAAACTTGAAGATGTATCAATAACTGTTATAGATGATGTCAACAAATCTGTACTCATAGTTCCTGAACCGTCAATATCTTCTGGAGTAACACCAAGGCTTATCTCTGGATTTTCAGAAAGGGATGAAACTGAGGGGAGAGTTCTTTGTTCTGTTGAAAAGCTACCAACTTGTTCTGCTGTTGTGGTCTCTGGACTGATTAACGAGGAACCTTTTGGAGTGTGTTTGCTGGACATTTCTCCAGGGTATCCACTAGTATATGGATTTGTGCTCCCTCTATCTGTAATGGCGGAACTTGACATTTCAAATGCAGTTGCAGGTTTTGTTTGAGAATGGGATGTGGTAAAAGTTTGTTCTGTTTCAGGAGACGCCAATGTTGGTTTTGCTGTGCTAAGGAGTGAGGCGGCTGGCGTAACTGCAGTTTTGGACACATCACTTGTTTCAGATGTGTATGTCTCTGAGACTGAAGGTGACTTTGTGCCAATTGTTGGATAATTTCCTGTTGTCTCATTGACAATATCAGATGAAGATAATTCGATAACAGCGGAGGCTGCTGTGGATATGTCAATGGTTTGGCCTCTATCTACTGGAGAAGCAACAGAAGAACTTTCTGTACTGATACAGTGGAAAGTGAAGGTCTCGTTGTCTGACCTGTTTGAACACTGTCGTCATGCTTAGGTAGAAGATCTGTTGTCTTCTCAGTGCTGAACAATGAGGAGCCAGTAGAAGATGCACTTTGTGTGTGAGACATTTCACTTGTTGGTTCACTTGTCCCATCTCCTCTTGTAACTGGAGATTTTGAACTTTCCTCTGGACCTGATGACGTTTCCTGCAAATTCACTGTAGCTAAAGTCTGGTATGTTTCAGATGACATTAACGATGGTTCCTGTGTGCTCTGGAGTGTTGAAGCTGAAGAAACATCTGTTTTTGAAATATCACTTGTTTCCGCTTTTCTTGTTGACGAGACGGACAGAATACTGAAAGCAGAAGAGCCAGCCGTAGTTTTAGTGATGGGTGTGTCAGTAGACTTTGTGATGTTTTCACCAGAAGTACCTTGTTCTGGTCTCACTGAGGAAGCCTCTGATTCAGGAGATATTGTTGCTGTGTCAATACTGTAGAAACTTGAAGATGTATCAATAACTGTTATAGATGATGTCAACAAATCTGTACTCATAGTTCCTGAACCGTCAATATCTTCTGGAGTAACACCAAGGCTTATCTCTGGATTTTCAGAAAGGGATGAAACTGAGGGGAGAGTTCTTTGTTCTGTTGAAAAGCTACCAACTTGTTCTGCTGTTGTGGTCTCTGGACTGATTAACGAGGAACCTTTTGGAGTGTGTTTGCTGGACATTTCTCCAGGGTATCCACTAGTATATGGATTTGTGCTCCCTCTATCTGTAATGGCGGAACTTGACATTTCAAATGCAGTTGCAGGTTTTGTTTGAGAATGGGATGTGGTAAAAGTTTGTTCTGTTTCAGGAGACGCCAATGTTGGTTTTGCTGTGCTAAGGAGTGAGGCGGCTGGCGTAACTGCAGTTTTGGACACATCACTTGTTTCAGATGTGTATGTCTCTGAGACTGAAGGTGACTTTGTGCCAATTGTTGGATAATTTCCTGTTGTCTCATTGACAATATCAGATGAAGATAATTCGATAACAGTGGAGACTGCTGTGGACATGTCAATGGTTTGGCCTCTATCTACTGGAGAAGCAACAGAAGAACTTTCTGTACTGCCTGTTACAGTGGAAAGTGAAGGTCTCGTTGTCTGACCTGTTTGAACACTGTCGTCATGCTTAGGTAGAAGATCTGTTGTCTTCTCAGTGCTGAACAATGAGGAGCCAGTAGAAGATGCACTTTCTGTGTGAGACATTTCACTTGTTGGTTCACTTGTCCCATCTCCTCTTGTAACTGGAGATTTTGAACTTTCCTCTGGACCTGATGACGTTTCCTGCAAATTCACTGTAGCTAAAGTCTGGTATGTTTCAGATGACATTAACGATGGTTCCTGTGTGCTCTGGAGTGTTGAAGCTGAAGAAACATCTGTTTTTGAAATATCACTTGTTTCCGCTTTTCTTGTTGACGAGACGGACAGAATACTGAAAGCAGAAGAGCCAGCCGTAGTTTTAGTGATGGGTGTGTCAGTAGACTTTGTGATGTTTTCACCAGAAGTACCTTGTTCTGGTCTCACTGAGGAAGCCTCTGATTCAGGAGATATTGTTGCTGTGTCAATACTGTAGAAACTTGAAGATGTATCAATAACTGTTATAGATGATGTCAACAAATCTGTACTCATAGTTCCTGAACCGTCAATATCTTCTGGAGTAGCACCAAGGCTTATCTCTGGATTTTCAGAAAGGGATGAAACTGAGGGGAGAGTTCTTTGTTCTGTTGAAAAGCTACCAACTTGTTCTGCTGTTGTGGTCTCTGGACTGATTAACGAGGAACCTTTTGGAGTGTGTTTGCTGGACATTTCTCCAGGGTATCCACTAGTATATGGATTTGTGCTCCCTCTATCTGTAATGGCGGAACTTGACATTTCAAATGCAGTTGCAGGTTTTGTTTGAGAATGGGATGTGGTAAAAGTTTGTTCTGTTTCAGGAGATGCCAATGTTGGTTTTGCTGTGCTAAGGAGTGAGACGGCTGGCGTAACTGCAGTTTTGGACACATCACTTGTTTCAGATGTGTATGTCTCTGAGACTGAAGGTGACTTTGTGCCAATTGTTGGATAATTTCCTGTTGTCTCATTGACAATATCAGATGAAGATAATTCGATAACAGCGGAGGCTGCTGTGGATATGTCAATGGTTTGGCCTCTATCTACTGGAGAAGGAACAGAAGGACTTTCTGTACTGCCTGTTACAGTGGAAAGTGAAGGTCTCGTTGTCTGACCTGTTTGAACACTGTCGTCATGCTTAGGTAGAAGATCTGTTGTCTTCTCAGTGCTGAACAATGAGGAGCCAGTAGAAGATGCACTTTGTGTGTGAGACATTTCACTTGTTGGTTCACTTGTCCCATCTCCTCTTGTAACTGGAGATTTTGAACTTTCCTCTGGACCTGATGACGTTTCCTGCAAATTCACTGTAGCTAAAGTCTGGTATGTTTCAGATGACATTAACGATGGTTCCTGTGTGCTCTGGAGTGTTGAAGCTGAAGAAACATCTGTTTTTGAAATATCACTTGTTTCCGCTTTTCTTGTTGACGAGACGGACAGAATACTGAAAGCAGAAGAGCCAGCCGTAGTTTTAGTGATGGGTGTGTCAGTAGACTTTGTGATGTTTTCACCAGAAGTACCTTGTTCTGGTCTCACTGAGGAAGCCTCTGATTCAGGAGATATTGTTGCTGTGTCAATAGTGTAAAACTTGAAGATGTATCAATAACTGTTATAGATGATGTCAACAAATCTGTACTCATAGTTCCTGAACCGTCAATATCTTCTGGAGTAACACCAAGGCTTATCTCTGGATTTTCAGAAAGGGATGAAACTGAGGGGAGAGTTCTTTGTTCTGTTGAAAAGCTACCAACTTGTTCTGCTGTTGTGGTCTCTGGACTGATTAACGAGGAACCTTTTGGAGTGTGTTTGCTGGACATTTCTCCAGGGTATCCACTAGTATATGGATTTGTGCTCCCTCTATCTGTAATGGCGGAACTTGACATTTCAAATGCAGTTGCAGGTTTTGTTTGAGAATGGGATGTGGTAAAAGTTTGTTCTGTTTCAGGAGATGCCAATGTTGGTTTTGCTGTGCTAAGGAGTGAGACGGCTGGCGTAACTGCAGTTTTGGACACATCACTTGTTTCAGATGTGTATGTCTCTGAGACTGAAGGTGACTTTGTGCCAATTGTTGGATAATTTCCTGTTGTCTCATTGACAATATCAGATGAAGATAATTCGATAACAGTGGAGACTGCTGTGGACATGTCAATGGTTTGGCCTCTATCTACTGGAGAAGCAACAGAAGAACTTTCTGTACTGCCTGATACAGTGGAAAGTGAAGGTCTCGTTGTCTGACCTGTTTGAACACTGTCGTCATGCTTAGGTAGAAGATCTGTTGTCTTCTCAGTGCTGAACAATGAGGAGCCAGTAGAAGATGCACTTTGTGTGTGAGACATTTCACTTGTTGGTTCACTTGTCCCATCTCCTCTTGTAACTGGAGATTTTGAACTTTCCTCTGGACCTGATGACGTTTCCTGCAAATTCACTGTAGCTAAAGTCTGGTATGTTTCAGATGACATTAACGATGGTTCCTGTGTGCTCTGGAGTGTTGAAGCTGAAGAAACATCTGTTTTTGAAATATCACTTGTTTCCGCTTTTCTTGTTGACGAGACGGACAGAATACTGAAAGCAGAAGAGCCAGCCGTAGTTTTAGTGATGGGTGTGTCAGTAGACTTTGTGATGTTTTCACCAGAAGTACCTTGTTCTGGTCTCACTGAGGAAGCCTCTGATTCAGGAGATATTGTTGCTGTGTCAATACTGTAGAAACTTGAAGATGTATCAATAACTGTTATAGATGATGTCAACAAATCTGTACTCATAGTTCCTGAACCGTCAATATCTTCTGGAGTAACACCAAGGCTTATCTCTGGATTTTCAGAAAGGGATGAAACTGAGGGGAGAGTTCTTTGTTCTGTTGAAAAGCTACCAACTTGTTCTGCTGTTGTGGTCTCTGGACTGATTAACGAGGAACCTTTTGGAGTGTGTTTGCTGGACATTTCTCCAGGGTATCCACTAGTATATGGATTTGTGCTCCCTCTATCTGTAATGGCGGAACTTGACATTTCAAATGCAGTTGCAGGTTTTGTTTGAGAATGGGATGTGGTAAAAGTTTGTTCTGTTTCAGGAGATGCCAATGTTGGTTTTGCTGTGCTAAGGAGTGAGACGGCTGGCGTAACTGCAGTTTTGGACACATCACTTGTTTCAGATGTGTATGTCTCTGAGACTGAAGGTGACTTTGTGCCAATTGTTGGATAATTTCCTGTTGTCTCATTGACAATATCAGATGAAGATAATTCGATAACAGCGGAGGCTGCTGTGGATATGTCAATGGTTTGGCCTCTATCTACTGGAGAAGCAACAGAAGAACTTTCTGTACTGCCTGATACAGTGGAAAGTGAAGGTCTCGTTGTCTGACCTGTTTGAACACTGTCGTCATGCTTAGGTAGAAGATCTGTTGTCTTCTCAGTGCTGAACAATGAGGAGCCAGTAGAAGATGCACTTTGTGTGTGAGACATTTCACTTGTTGGTTCACTTGTCCCATCTCCTCTTGTAACTGGAGATTTTGAACTTTCCTCTGGACCTGATGACGTTTCCTGCAAATTCACTGTAGCTAAAGTCTGGTATGTTTCAGATGACATTAACGATGGTTCCTGTGTGCTCTGGAGTGTTGAAGCTGAAGAAACATCTGTTTTTGAAATATCACTTGTTTCCGCTTTTCTTGTTGACGAGACGGACAGAATACTGAAAGCAGAAGAGCCAGCCGTAGTTTTAGTGATGGGTGTGTCAGTAGACTTTGTGATGTTTTCACCAGAAGTACCTTGTTCTGGTCTCACTGAGGAAGCCTCTGATTCAGGAGATATTGTTGCTGTGTCAATAGTGTAAACTTGAAGATGTATCAATAACTGTTATAGATGATGTCAACAAATCTGTACTCATAGTTCCTGAACCGTCAATATCTTCTGGAGTAGCACCAAGGCTTATCTCTGGATTTTCAGAAAGGGATGAAACTGAGGGGAGAGTTCTTTGTTCTGTTGAAAAGCTACCAACTTGTTCTGCTGTTGTGGTCTCTGGACTGATTAACGAGGAACCTTTTGGAGTGTGTTTGCTGGACATTTCTCCAGGGTATCCACTAGTATATGGATTTGTGCTCCCTCTATCTGTAATGGCGGAACTTGACATTTCAAATGCAGTTGCAGGTTTGTTTGAGAATGGGATGTGGTAAAAGTTTGTTCTGTTTCAGGAGACGCCAATGTTGGTTTTGCTGTGCTAAGGAGTGAGGCGGCTGGCGTAACTGCAGTTTTGGACACATCACTTGTTTCAGATGTGTATGTCTCTGAGACTGAAGGTGACTTTGTGCCAATTGTTGGATAATTTCCTGTTGTCTCATTGACAATATCAGATGAAGATAATTCGATAACAGCGGAGGCTGCTGTGGATATGTCAATGGTTTGGCCTCTATCTACTGGAGAAGCAACAGAAGGACTTTCTGTACTGCCTGATACAGTGGAAAGTGAAGGTCTCGTTGTCTGACCTGTTTGAACACTGTCGTCATGCTTAGGTAGAAGATCTGTTGTCTTCTCAGTGCTGAACAATGAGGAGCCAGTAGAAGATGCACTTTGTGTGTGAGACATTTCACTTGTTGGTTCACTTGTCCCATCTCCTCTTGTAACTGGAGATTTTGAACTTTCCTCTGGACCTGATGACGTTTCCTGCAAATTCACTGTAGCTAAAGTCTGGTATGTTTCAGATGACATTAACGATGGTTCCTGTGTGCTCTGGAGTGTTGAAGCTGAAGAAACATCTGTTTTTGAAATATCACTTGTTTCCGCTTTTCTTGTTGACGAGACGGACAGAATACTGAAAGCAGAAGAGCCAGCCGTAGTTTTAGTGATGGGTGTGTCAGTAGACTTTGTGATGTTTTCACCAGAAGTACCTTGTTCTGGTCTCACTGAGGAAGCCTCTGATTC